TGTATTTTTCGACGTTTGGCTGTAATTTGCAGTCAGAAATGTACAAACGTAAATTTTATCATTGAAAAAGCAATGTTTTCACATTTTATTTAATTACTCTAAATGTATAAAAGATAGCTTTAGATATTTAGATGGAAATTAAAGCTGAATATATGAGGTATAATAACTGTTTGGTGTTGCAATTGTATCTTTCGATGTTTGGCTGTAATTTGCAGTCAGAAATGTACTAACGTAAATTTTATCATTGAAAAAACAATGCCTCCACATTTTAGTAAATTACTCGAAATGTAAAAAAGATAGATTCAGATATTTAGATGGAAATTAAAGCTGAATATGTGAGGTATAAAAAGCATTTAGTGTTGCAATTGTATCTTTCAATGTTTGGCTGTAATTTGCAGTAAAAAATGTACTAACGTAAATTTTATCATTGAAAAAACAATGTCTTCACATTTTAGTAAATTACAGTAAATGTATAAAAAATAGATTTAGATATTTAGATGGAAATTAAAGCTGAATATGTGAGGTATAAAAAGCATTTGGTGTTGCATTTGTAACTTTCGCTGTTTGGCTGTAATTTGCAGTAAAATCTTAAGTCTTTAAATCGCTGCTACCGTCAGATTTTCATAAATTTCTCGAAAAGTAGGAAAGGTACAATAAATGTTAAAAATGTATATGAAAGCTGAATATATTGTGAATAAAACGTGAATGGTGTAACAATTGCATTTTTAGTCGTTTATCCAAAATTAAGCAATATTTAACATTGAAACCTTTGCCATATAGAAATATACAAATGAAAGCTAAATTGTAATTGTTGTCATTCTTTCATTACAGTTCACATGGATGTTGGATAGAAAAAGTACAATTACAATTGAATACATACCTTGAAACCAATTCATAAAGTTAGTTATCCCAACATCTATTAATGGCTTGTTAAAAAGCATCTGACTTTATTTGCCTATCTTCAATGACGGATGTAGTAATTTCACGTTCTTCGCAATTAGATGCATTAAAGAAAGATTACAGTAATAAACCATATTTTTTTCTCTCTACGTCCATTATTTGTATGCGAGTGTCTTAAAATTGTAATGAACTAAAATTGAAAAAAAAAACAGGGGAAAGAATTAAATTACAAGGAACGGTTTGAATCAACAAGAAAACATATCCGAACGGTACAAAGGTAATGACTTATCGGATTTCTCGTACTGTTTTCTTACTTTGTTTCGCGATTGCAATTCGATACGGAATTACGCTTTTACATACGACCCGCAATTTAATTGTTGTCGTGTGTGAGAAGAGAGCAGAGCCATTTTCACTTTCGTTAATAACATTCTTTTGACCGCGTTCGTTTCTTCTTTCTTCGTTCCTCCACTTCTTCGTATCGTCGTAGATGAAGGGAAGAAGGAGATGCATCAAATTACATCGGAGCTTCCGCAATACCCGAGTGTTAAATAACAATGAGTTTACTGTTTCCATTAATCCCACGAACGTTACTTGGCTATTAGGAAGTAACAACACATGCTTTTTTGTTTCTCTTTTCGTTTTGTTCTTCTGTTAATTCTTTTTCTGCGCCCTATCCATTAACCATTCATCAATCTTTCGGACACATTCGATCTCTTTTGTTCCAGCGTAAAAACACCTACGAGAAAGTCGGATAGATCTATGGATGGATTTCGCAGTTACGAAAGAGAGTCGAGTTCGCACAAGATTTTGCGAAATTCGCAAATTGATTTGCTGGAAACAAGGCTAAACCGAACACCTGCGAGCTTTGAAAATGACTAGAAAACGAGGACTTTTCCTACCTTGGCATTGCGCAGAGGAGGCCAATTAAATCTGGAAAAGCTGGAATTAAACCAGAAGATTGTAAAGTGTGTTCTTTCCATTGTGACGATTCAAATATAACAAGATCCAGGTCAGATTGCTGATATAACGGCTCAAGATTTTTGTAAACAACTCCTTCTCTCTTTCTCTCCATCTATTCAACTATCTTCGTCCACTCCGGCTCATTCGAATTGATTGGTTTAATTGAAACCCAACAATGCTTCGTAAATTTCGATTTGAATATGTTCGTTAAAAAGAAATAATCGTACGTTGAACTTCAAATTGCTTAATCATATTAACGTTTTGCATCTGCTCGTGTTGTTCCCATTTCAGAAAAGCGCAGCAATTTGGAAAAGTTTACGACGATGCAAAGTTTGCTTCCGTTTTCTGGATTTATCTCGTTCACGTTTTGCAGCTGCGGGGGATGCTGCATCCCTCCGTTTTGTAAAGATGCAGGGGGATTACGTTGAATGCGTCCATTTTTCAAACGGGAAAAGTTAGCAATGATCAAAGCCATGCATTCTCAATGTCAACGTACACTTTACTTTACTGATCCATATTACTCGATTGGTTTTGAACTTTACCTATCGTCGCATACACAAAAGAGACAAGATAAATCGAACTTTCGCAATCTTCGGATGGAAACGAAATGGTAACACAGTAAAGTACACGTCGTAATATTGTTCTTTTTTTTTAATTTCTTCGGTTTCTAAATCTTTCTCACAGTTATCTCTTGAAATCTGCTAACATATTCATAGAATCTAATTAGTTACAAATTTGTTAATACACCAATTTTATAAATATAATATGTAATTGTTGTCAAATATTATTATTCAAAAATCATAAAGTCAGGATTAAATTTGAACAAAAGTTTTGCATTACAACGAAAAGTAGTATTGAAAGACGCACACCGAGATTCGAATCTGCAATTCATATTTCCGTCTGATAGAATCTAAGATCCGGAAAACGTTTCGATTTATATAAAACTTTACACTCCGGTTGACGTTTCAGCTTCATCCGGTCTATATCTATACATTTCACAAACAGTTTGGGATTTATCCCTTCGTGTCCTCGCAGCCTTAGGGGAAAACTGGATCCCATATTTACCATAGAAAACAATATTTGAGTAAGCCAACTACTATTGCCTCAACCATCTTTGTGCTATACAAAAAAAAATAACGAACATAGAGTAAAACTTATTGCAACAGGATTGAAGTGGAATAATCGAAAGCAGTTTAGATGCAATCAATCAAAAGCTGTTAAAGCCAGTTTGGAATCGTTGGCCGAGAAGTAGAAGACAATTAAATTGCACCAAAGAAAGCGCGATCGTTGTAACAGATAAAAAAAAACTCCGGGTTAGATAAGAGGTCTTGATGTTATAGAAATCGTCGAGAATGGTACCAGCATCACAGGTAGACAGAAAATAAAGTCCTCGAGGCACGGAATTAGCTGAATGCCACCGCCATAGTAATCCCAATGATTTATGATATAGGTGTCCTTATTGATACCAGCTTTTATGTTGCGCAGATTCTTGATAACTGTATTATTTGAATATATTAAAATTGTGAAATTGAGTATTTAATCCCATGTAAAAATTGGTTATGACTTGTATGTTGACTTATAAATTGTCAATAAGTTGAAGTAGTATAGTAGTTATATTTGTGTTTCGAAATTAATTTAATTGTTATTGTTTATGGAACAGTTAAAGGTTGAAGCTCGTGTTGAAGGTAATGTTCCTGGTTGATGTTGTTTGTATGTGGATGATAGACGAATTTGTTTCGCGTCCGGGCTTTATGTAATCCGGGCTTTGCATGGTGTGAATGAGCATCAGAAGACAATGGGCCATCCGGAAATGGTAATATTTCCACAAGGTTGGGCCGTTAAAAACAGAGGTCCCATCGTCATGGCAACAAGCATTGCCAATGAATGAATGAATGAATGGCAATCCCCTATACATACATATATCTATATCTATCGTTACGACCATTGGAATGTTGTAAATATTATTCGGAATGGGAAAATCGAAAGTGCATAATAATAATATGATATCGAGCGCGAATGGAGTTGTAAATCCATAATGGAAATTCACATGATACCGAGAGATTGCTCGCAACTGCAGAAAGTCTTCATAAAATCAATTCCAATTGATGTTTAGCCTTTTTGCAGTATAATCCATACCACCGAATTGGATTATGCATATTACGGGTAATCTCGCGTCCGTATTTATCGCAGCATCATCACTTATTACCTACTAATAACATTAGTTTTAGTTTGAACTTACTTTATAAGCGATTCTCGGTCGGAGATCCTCGTATTAAGTTACTTGCAGCGCAACGTTTCATACCTGGAATATTTAAACGCTTGTATTCATGTTTACACTGCAGAGCAATAAATCAAACGGAAAGTTGTTACATATCAAGGAAATATCGATTATTCGCAATAAAATCATAACAGGAATGGTGATTATTTTCGCTGCGGTACAAACTAACTACTGCTAATTAAAGCGATTAGGGCTAATAGCGAATCAAATCTAGTAGGTGCAGGCAACAAAAGCAAAATAAATAAAGGATAAACGGAGGGATCATCATTGATGATTTATGAAAAGTTCGACTGGAGAAGATTCGTGAAACGGAGTCGAGATTTAATACACTTAGAAAGTGAAATGGATTGTAAACAAAAATTTAAAGGGATTCCGTCCAGCGGCGATGTTTACGTGCTGACCTTAATGTAAAGGGCTTTTCTTTAAGGATCCGATGGCACAGCACAATCCAAGACCGGTAAGGTTTCTAACAGGCTTCGGATGTCGCGATTCAGCACAAGAGTTCATTCATGGTTCATTCAAAAAAAAATCGCGAAAGCCAAATGCAGCACACTATGTACAAACTCTTCTGGCTCTGACGGCCATTTTATCACTGTTCTTTTGTCAAGAGCCTTCGGACCAACAGCAGGATCAGGCTCTTCGCGCGGGGTGGGGGGCGCTTCGCAACACATCTGTTCACCTCTTCGGTATTTCCAATTAATCGTCGGATCTGTAAAAGTCTAAAGATAGCATGCATTTGTTTGGAATTAGGTATAGATAATTCGGCTTTTTTTGAACTGTTCGTATCGGATTGATGTGAAGGTAGCAACGCAACGAGCGGCATTGAATTGATCGGTTGGCAACGCGACCGTCGTCCTTGACGTGCGAGCGAGCTGTCAAATCGTCTCAATTCTTACATAACCCCAGACGGGTAGAAGTTCTGCATTTGAGACCTCAGAGTTTTTCGAAGATATGGCAGCGAAAAGGATCAGCCAGAGTGCCATCAACTGGGCCTCTTTGGCCGAGAGGGTGCCGGAACACCAGAAGAACATCTTCATCGCCTTCAAAGCCAAACATGACAACTACCTCAGACGGTATGTACCACAACCTAAATCTTTATGTAACCATCATTGGATAACATCACATTTCTGTTTCAAACGTAATAATGAAGAACTTGCAATCATTGTTTCAAAAGACACCCACTTGATTGTAGTAAACCCTATAAACAAATTCATACATGATAATTGCACCCTTAAAGTATTGATTCCCAACTTTTACCTCTTACTCAATCCCAAGTGTTTATCAACTTTAAACATTAAGTATTAATTGGTAATTACTTTTAGTAACATTATTACAACTGATTTATAGAAAATCCAATACATCCAATAAGAATTTTCTTGGAAGTTCATGTAATTGGGGTAATAGCATAGGCAACCAAATATACGTTCTTTGCTGTAAATTGCATATTTACGTATATATTAAAAAAAAGCAGTAAATTCAAAGTTCAGTCATATATATTATTAAGTATTATCAATGCAGAAACAATTTATTACTATTATTACATATACAAAATTGAATTCTGTATAATTATTTTTTTTTAATCCTATTGGACAATATAGAAAATACCAATAGGTATTTTTCAAATTAAAAGGATTGAGAAGAGCTAAGAATAACTATATAAAGAATGTCATTATATTATATAATATTTAACTAAAATTTGTTTTATGTTTACAGTTATTATGTTTAAACTAAAAAGTCACTTATTTTGGAATACCCACTATTGTACTCAATATACATGTTATATAACAGTTTCAATATTATTTATGTAATATATCTAATTAATTTTACTACCTGAAATATAAATCTTTCAGTTGTGTATTAATATTTCAAAATTAAAAATTGTTATTAAAGCTTTGTTTAAATGATAATATTGTTTAATTATTGTATTAAAATTTGAAGAATAAGTATTTTTTGGAAATTTTATATAAATGAAACAGTAATTAAAGCTTGAATATTTAGTTTCCAAAAAGTTAATATTATTTTGTGTCATTTGTTAATTAACGATTAGATATGTAAATTTACTTAATTTGTTGTAATGTTTCAGTGTTATGGCTAACCCAGAATCTGCTCCAGCCATTGACTGGGCATTCTACAAGGCTAAGGTACCAGTTGCCGGTATGGTCGATGACTTCCAGAAGCAATACACCGCCTTGAACATCCCATACCCACCAGACAACGTGTCCGGACAAATCGACACTTTGGAGAAGGAAATCAAATCCGATATCGCTAAATTCAAGGTTGAATCTAGCGCCCGCATCGAAGAGTAATAAAACGGTTTAAATCTTCATTGATGAATTGATTAATCATCTTTTTTGTGTGTTTTGCAGATACAAGAAGCAGTTGGCTCACTTGTCTTCCTTGATCCCATTCGATCAAATGACCATGGAAGATTACAGGGATGCCTACCCAGAACAGGCTCTGGACCCCATCAACAGACCAACCTTCTGGCCTCACGGATTCGAAGATCAGCTCGAGAACAAGGACTGGTCCAAGGAAGAGGAGCATCATTAAATTTAATTGAATCCACTTCAATTCCAATAGCGAAGTGTTTGAGCTACTAGTATCATGTCTAAAGTCTATAAGAATTCAACAAAAAAATGGAAAATCGTGAAATAAAAACACTCAGAAAATCACATGTATACTTGCTTTTATTTTCACCACTAACTCTTACAAACAATTAAACTAAATAATACCTGTTATATGTAAATTTGGTTATAATTATTGTTTTAATATTTGGGATTAAATACTGTTTTGTTAATTTTTTTTTAAATGTTAAGAAAGGTTTGTATATATTTTATATGTAGTAGAGATTTAGAATCAATACGAAATAGATGGGGTCATATGTATGGTAGTGTATATAGGCAGTAATCACAAGGCTCTATATATTTGTATATGTTTGCTTCGAATATGGTTTCCTGCTAATTTTGTGAGTTTTAGACCGCTTTGAGCACAAAGATAGATTCATCGAGCCAGTAATAGGACTGCCTCAGGTCGCCCTCGCATAAATAAGGAACTCTGCTCCACGAGATTACCTCGAAGCCCACAGGTCTCAGCACGTTGTCGACTAAGTGTACGACCTGATCTTCGAAGGTCTGGCCTCTTATGTTCAAACGTTCAGTGGGCTCGTGATCTGCAGCTGCAACAACAACAACAAAAAGAAACGGAACACGTAACGAACGTCCAATAGGTAATTAACTAATTTGTACAAATGGCCAATAATTACCTGATTCGACGTACGGCGAAAATGGCAAGACGACAGCTAATAATACCATACCGTTAGGTTTCAGAGATGCGTGCACCTGGTTGAGCAGTTCCAGTGGTTTATCGCATCTATCCAATAAGTTCAAGCACGAGATTACGTCGTACTTACGGCCCACGTTCCATTCGTCGATGCCCAACAAACTGAAAAAGTACGACAACAAAAATACATCAAATTGTTGCTCGTTCGAAACAACTAGAATTTTACAATGCATGCATTCAATCAAAATAAACTATATATAAAATTACATGTATTATATACTTATTTAAATTGTTCTGACGAATGCAATAGGATTTCTAATCAAACATCTGCAATCATTAAATAAGTCTGAATTCATCATGAAAAAAGACATTGTATTGTCACATTAATTAGGACAAATAGGCATAGAATAATAAATTTGAGGATTTAGTATCATCTTTAATTATGTATATCAAGATTGTTATTACTAATTAGTAAACATATATTTTTAAAATTGTTATTAATAATTTTAGTTTTTTTTTTAAATTGTTTATGGTGCACTAGATTTTGCACTTGTTACTTTAGTAAATCATCAATTTCTTATAAGTTTACAATTATGTGTCAAAAATAATCTAAAATTATTGTAGGTCATCAATGCAAGAAGAATCTTCTACTCGTGATATTGAACTTTCGTAAACTTAAACATTAAAACTTCTGTTTGGTATTTCAGAAATGTTATTTCTGTACTCACTATCATATTTATATTTTTTTTTTTTAAAAGAGATTTATATCAATTTATTTATTGATATAAATCTCTCCGGCCCTATTTCTACCCCTTTCGGGTTTAACAGCCACCACAAATTTTTGTTATTTTTCGTATCAGATTTTTGTGATACAGGCGACCATATTTATATTTAAAACTGATTTCTGTACATCATGAAGAAAAGCAATGTATACAATTGGTTAGCTTAACCCTTTCAGGACAACTGGTAATTCGGTGATGCAAGTGCCTACTGGTTACCAGCTTTAACCACATCCTGGATGATAATCAGGACATCCTATTCACATTTTCTTACCATAATTTTATTTAAACATTTATTTGTTAATAATATGTAAAAATGATGTGTAAAGTATTTTTTTTAATTCTGTCCTCAGAAGGTTAATAAAGATCAATAGTACATCAAGAGGATACTAGTAGTACTGAAATTGAAATAGTTGATGAAATTACCAAAATCTACTTTTCAAAACTTTAAAATGTAGTAGATTTATACTTTTATGTACGATTTTAGAATTTCGAGATACTATTTTTTGACCCATAATTTGTTGTTAAGAAATCCAACCTAAGGAAATTAATGTTACTTCTTAAAACAAGGTTATTAATATATGAAAAGAAGGAAAAAGTAATAGTAAAGGAAATTATGGATAGAAAGTTTAGAATTTTAAATGTTGCCTCTATTTTCGATAAACAACTCAGTAATAACTGATAATCAATTATTACATAAATTGGAGATATTTCCATGCCAAAATCAATACAATTTATTGAATTTAACTGAGAACTCATTCAATTTATATATTTATCTGCTAGATGTATGCTTTATATATTTATTAGTGTGTAACAGATTATATTCATAGTAAGAAAATCATGAAATTCGTCGATACTCATCAATAATTGATAAAACTTGTATTTGAATGAGATATATATTGAATTTTGCATAAAATCTGTTAAGAAAAGATTGTAAATTAAATGAGAGAAAAAAATCTTGTAACGTGTTTGCAAAACGATTTCTATTGCAGCTCGGAATTCATTATGCATACAAACAACTGCAAGCCCAGTAATAAAAACGCGATTTTATTATTTTCGAACGCGAACGAAGCTACATAATGTCATTAGAATAATGAAGGCTGTAGACGCATTCAATTCGATATGAAGAGGAAACAAACCAATGAGAAGACGTTGAGAGTTTTGTTTGTCTCGCATCGAAAATGGAATAAATATTAATAATAATAATAATACAAAAAATAAAGTAGAGTAGAGATGAAAAGAAGGTGGACGGGAATTGCTCGGAATAAATATGAATACATTTTGCAACAATTTAGCGTATAACCTGGAGCGCAGTAAAAATTAATTGCCAGGTATAAAAATTAAAAGCACGCCAATTAAAATTTATGATAATTCCTGCAATCCGTCATGCAGGAAGGTGCTGTTGTTGTTCTGCTGATGCAGCATTTGGAGAGAAGAGAGAGAGTTTAATTAAAAGCGTATACTTTGCAATGCAAATTTGGTAATTAAAATTGCGTTCAGTTCTTAATTAAGAACGGAGGAGTATACAATAAATCGGGACGAGAGAATTTATCCCGTATCTTTTTGAGTTGTGTACGTGCGAGTGTGGATTCTGTTAATTAATTTTTATGCCTTTCTGTTTTGGGATTTTTTCTTGTTGTGGCTTCGGCATAAACGATTACACTTGTTTCGCAATGGCAAGGGTATTGAATATGCATAAAAGTGTTCGTCGGCTCCGGCCAGGTGATAACTAATGAAGAAGGGGCATAATTAAGATAGGTCCGAAAAAGAGGAAGAAACGCGCGTTCGACCGTAACGCTTTCGGAATTCCATTCTAATTACTTAAAGCTTATTTATATACCTGCGGGGGATTATTGCAAGTGTCCGCTCGGTGCAGCAGCAGTTTTCAGTTTAAACGAAGTGAGAAGAGAAGGGAAAGGGGATGGTTGTGGTGGTGGTTGCAATAAAATTTAATGTCGCTCCGGAGATTCGGGCCTCTGAGCCAAGATTTTCATGCAATCCGGCTAAGTAACGCGTCTTAATTAAGTCTGCACTTAGTTTTACGAGTTAAGTTTTACGGACGGCGGACGAGCATAGAGAAGACGTGCATGCGAGTGAAAGTGAGAGAGAACTCAATTAACAATCTGACATTAAACGGCTTTAATTACGTGAGATATAGTCGCCCGATCGGCTGTGCAGCCCCCAGAGAGGCGATTAAACACTATCACGGATTGCGATTTATATAACAAAATAACATTATTTATTCGTTCGCTGTTTATCGCCTCCATAAAGAATATTGCTGGGGTCCAAAACGTGTATTATTATTATTGTTTGCAGCGGGCTGGAAGTGAGGTAGACGAGGATGCGTTCGAAGATGTTCGAAGTACCTCACCTTCTTTGCGATTGTGATACCCTCCTGACACAGGTAATGTATGTGCCAAAAGAAACGGTGCGTGTCATTAAACTCATCACATCCTTCATTTGCATCACACCCCAGGGTAGCATTTTTTAATCTGCATCTCATCTCTTTCTCCGTTTCTCACCCATTCTCTTCTGTCTCTCCGTTTCACTCACTCACACGCTCGCAATCTCAATCTCTTCGATTCGCATCGCCGCTATTCGCAACCTTTATCACCTACAGAATTTTAACTAAGCTTTCCTCGAATCCCCCCGCGAAATTAAGCAATAAATCCATAAGGCTCCGAAGTCTTCGGACTCGCTCTCTGCATACAGGATTATCTTTGCTGAAAGTCCTGTAGATTCTCAATACCTTCACATTTCCACATTCAAATATATCTATCTATTACTGATTTATTTTACTTGACTTCACCATAATATTCAATATTTGAAGAAAAAACTTTATTTCTTTCAAATATTTATATCTAATTATGAAATTATCTTGCAGTGTATGGAAATATTTGTCACTTTTTTTTAATAATAAAAAAAACTGAATTTAGATACGATGACAATGTTAAAACCTTTCAAAGCTTTCTACTTATCGAACAGAAAATAGAGGAAAGGTGGCGTACGTAATCAGAGTGACCTCAAGAAAGTCATCGATCAGTGAGAATCCAATTTGTTTGGTTTCGAGTCCGTCCGAATGGATTAGTGGACATTTGTTAATCCGATTTGATTAATGCATGCATAATAAATGGGTCGGAAAACTCACTGGAAGCCTCGTCGCTGAAGGAGTGTTTGCATAGTATTAGAAACTTCTGTGACATAGACCGTCCGGAAGGCGGGTGCCAGAAGGGCCGTCACCTCACCGTCCCCGGCTCCCAGATCCAGCAGATCCCCGGTTGACCAATCCTCGCCTCCTCCCACCAACTTCAGGAACTGCTGAAACGAGACAACGAACATCGAGCCACGCTGAAGCCATCTGCAACAAAGGAACAAACAAAAAAAATGAAATACTAATACTGCAAACGGATTACCATAAATACATACGCAACGGAATTTCGTTTTATAATATTATATATAATTTGGATTAGTTCGTAATTCAACGTAACATTAATGCGGCTTTAAATTAAGCCGGACAATAATTAATTCTTGTTTTAATACTCAAAATAATCGCGTTCATTAATAATAGTAGCAAATTCGGACAATGAAGGAACAAGTACAAATGTTATGTAACCAAAGCCGGACAAAACTTCTTTGTTTCATGTATTAATATGGGTAGCATTTACATTAATCTCTTCACTTATCCCTTATAAGAGTAAACACTGATGCGTAGTTTACATAAACAATGATCCTGTATTAAAGTCACGAGTAAGTGAGAAGCATTAGTCTATTTGAGTGATATTTGCCAAGTATATAAAATGCTACTTGGCAAGTATAGACGATTGCCATAGATATGTTACGCATATTTAATACACATATCCCTCATTTTACACGGTACTTTTTTTTACACGGTTTTAAAAAAAATAATGTTAAAAATAATCGACCGTGTAAAACGAGGTATACGTGTGTACTTAAATATTTATAATTGGAATTTAGATATATGCTTTCAAATTAAATATGTAATCTGTCAATTTTGTCTACAAATCAGTGATATGAAGAGAATTAATTCAGTCATGTATGAAAGCTGTAAGTGGTCGAGTGACAAACATTATACAAAGACTCTCTAAGAGATATTTGTCAAGTACTTGAAACGCTACTTGGTAAGTACTAATGATTGTGGCGTAAATCATAAATGTCACATTTATCCATCATATTTGATACTGATCAATTTGTAATTGAAATCTAGATACATGCTTTCAAATTAAATATGTAATCTGTCAATTATGTCATCAAATCTGTGATACGAAGAGAATTGATACACTCCCGTATGGAAGTTATAAGTAAGTGGTAGAATGAGAAACATTATGCAAAGACTCTCTAAGAGATATTTGTCAAGTACTTGAAACGCTACTTGGTAAGTACTTGAAACGCTACTTGGTAAGTACTAATGATTGTGACGTAAATCATAAATGTCACATTTATCCGTCATATTTGATACTGATCAATTTGTAATTGAAATCTAGATACATGCTTTCAAATTAAATATGTAATCTGTCCATTCTGTCATCAAATCAGTGATACGAAGAGTATTGATACAGTCCCGTATGGAAGTTATAAGTGTTGGAGTGAGAATCATTATGCAAAGACTTTCTAAGAGGTATTTGCCAAGTACTTGAAACGCTACTTGGTAAGTACTAATGATTGCGATGTAAATCATATATGTCACATTTATCAGTCATATTTGATACTAATCAATTTGTAATTGAAATCCAGATACATGCTTTCAAATTAAATATGTAATCTGTCAATTCTGTCATCAAATCTGTGATACGAAAAGAATTGATACACTCCTGTATGGAAACATTATGCAAAGACTCTCTAAGAGATATTTGTCAAGTACTTGAAACGCTACTTGGTAAGTACTAATGATTGTGACGTAAATCATAAATGTCACATTTATCCGTCATATTTGATACTGATCAATTTGTAATTGAAATCTAGATACATGTTTTCAAATTAAATATGTAATCTGTCAATTATGTCTACAAATCAGTGATATGAAGAGAATTGAAACAGTCATGTATGAAAGCTGTAAGTGGTGTAGTGACAAACATTATGCAAAGGCTCTCTCCGAGATATTTGCCAAGTACTTGAAACGATACTTGGCAAGTAATAATGATTACGATGTAAATCATAGATGTCACATTTATCCATCTATTTGATACTAATCAATATGATATGAAGAGAATTGAAACAGTCATGTATGAAAGCTATAAGTGGTGGAGTGAGAAACATTATGCAAAGACTCTCTAAGAGATATTTGTCAAGTACTTGAAACGCTACTTCGTAAGTAATAATTATTGCAATTTACATCATAAATGTAACATTTATCCGTCATATTTAATACTAATCAATTTGTAATTGAAATCCAGGCACATGCTTTCAAATCTGATCAATTCTGTCATCAATACGAAGAGTATTGATACACTCCTGCATAGAAGTAAAGGGAAAATCGAGAGTCCGATCGTCGAGGTTTCATCTCTTCGTGGCGTGTCAAGCTCCCATCGAGTGCAGGTATCGAAATCTGACTATTTAATACCTGGCCATCGAAACACGCTTCGGGCCTGGTGCCCAAGTGAGTTCTGGTTAACGCTCTCGTGTTCAGGCAATGGTCCTAGGTGTACGATCAACAGCAGGACTACATGTGTCCTGACATATCTAATTAACAACCACCCGCGGCGGCGACATACACCACGCCACGCCGCGCCACCTTCTCCCCTCTCACCACCGTCTCACCATCACTTCTTCAGTCCCAGAGGGACCTCGATTCGAAATTCCGCGCACGCAAAATTAACACTTAATTATAAAACGGTATTTATTTATTTGACGTTAAAATATTGCCGCACGTCCTCTCTTTTTTTTTGTTATTGCTCTATCCCCTGTTTCCAACCAACCCTTGCACAGTCGGACAACCATCTTCATCTCTCAATCCGGACGAATTCACGCAATGCAACAGTATAAATTCGAAATCAATACAAATTTATAACTGTAACATTTTTCATGCAGTCATAAAGTTGTGACAGTCAACCGAAGAAAACGTGTTACTTTTATGTCTTTAAATCCGAATGGTCAATAAATAATAAAAACGCAACATCCAGGCATCAATATATAAATCATAAACAACATTTTAATGGATAGAAATAAATTAAAAACAATTCTATACATTACAGATCGATTAAAGATATAAATTGATCTTTGAAGAATTTGGATAATAGTTATATGACAAAATTGTTAAATAATCTTTGTAAATTGGTACATATTTGTAATTCTAAACAATTTAGGACATTTTGTTATAAAATCCGTACTATTTGTTAAATGACATAAATATTCATCAAACTAAATACAAAAGTCGTAATTGTTTACAAAAAGTTGGAGTGGTTGTAAATAAAATTACATCAAATACCAAAGACATTGAGATCTAATTTTATTATTGTTCATTATTCAATAGATCTTTGTATATTTGAGATACTAATTAAATTAGGAAATTGTGACAACATTGTTCCAACTTTATTCATTGCACAGTCGGACGAACATCTCTCAATCTGGACGTAATACAACATATCAACATGGATTCTTACAACTTAAACACTCTTTCAACTTTAACATTTTTGTGTTACTTTTATGTCTTTAAATCTGAATGGTCAATAAATAATAAAAAAAAAAAACGCTATATAAATCATTAGACAACATTTTAGTGGGTAGAAAGAAATTAAAAATATTTTATACATTACAGATCTAAATTGATATTTGAATAATTTATGTAATTTCATTATCACTTGATAATAGATATTTGTGAATTGTATTTAGTTTTATTACAAAGTAATATTATTTATAGTAAAATTGAGTGGTTTAAAAGGAATTTACATCAAATATTACAGATCGAATTTGATTATTTTCAAGTAATTTAGGAATTTGTGTCACTATTCATGACAAGTGATTTAAATGTTTGTCAAGAGTAAGATGTAATAATTTCAGTGCATTTTTTGGTAAAAGCATAGATTCAATGATAAAAAAAAGTCTTTTTTAAACAGTTGTTCTAATGGATTGAATAATAGATGGAATGAGTGTTAAAGAGCATCGAAGATTTTAATTCGACTCGTTATCAAGATTATCCTTATTCCTCCTCCGCATACCGATGCAACGGAGTGGAAGAACACGATTGGATAGTGAGGACGTTGGTGCACGATGATGCTCCTCTTCTCCTCTCTTCGCATCGTTGTTCTTACCTCCTGCTAAGGGGACACCACATAGAGTTACTATTTCACCTGAGGTGTTTACTTGAGAACTCGACGCGGACCGTCTTCCGAATGTAATGTAGGCACTTTATTGCCCGGTTTTATGAAAATCATTTTAATTTCGCATCGATATTAATGACTCTCTGCTCGCTCTTCGACTCCACCGAGAGTCTGCAATATATATATTTATTAAAAAAGGATGAAGAGAAGAGGACATTCGAATGTTCCACGTTGCGTTATTAACCACCATAAAGACACGTATATTACAGTTTTTAACGACAACAAATAACAACAACGCAATGAACGAATGTAAATGAATTGGACATTTTTACAAGATGTCGACTTTAGTTATTTCTTTTGTTGTTCTCGTAACATTATCATCTCTGACATGGGTTTTCGATAATTGCGTACAGCTTGTACATAAATAATCAATAAATTACATTCAGTTTGCAGTTGCAACAATAACAATATACAAAAAAAAAATATTACAATACTAATTATAGACCATAGGATTTTCTGTATTTTACCATAATTTGTATCTTTGTGTATTCTACAAATGTACGTGTAATTTCCAATGTTTTTGTTCGGACATTGCGTTGTGATTGGGTCCATTATTTATCCAAGATTTCTCGTCATCGATGGACATTGATTGCCGGATTTGCTCATCGCTTATTTAGAGGGCCCCTGTTTTTCCCGGAACGACGTTCGGATCGATCGGGCAAATGCAGAATTAGCCGTTTCAAATTGATTCCCGACTGTCGGAGATTATTTTCAAAATTATTTATGGTCGTTTTACCCGCAAAACGAAAACACAGAAGAAGCGCACAACTCCACAAAAACAAGTCCATTACATCTATTGTTTTCTTTATTATCATGCACTTTTAACAATACGCAATTACTAATAGTTTTTTTTAATAATTTAGAAAAATTAATTGAATATTTACTGAAATTATGATTTTTTTTACATATTTCTTATTAGGGAAATAAAATGAGTTTATACTATATTAAGAATGATTCAAGTAATGAAATATTTTGTTAAATATAATAGAAAGTCAATTTAATTAATTGTTATGGTGAAAATTGAAATTAATTTGTGGTTGATGGAAACGGTAAAAGACGAAGAGAAAAATTGTATAAAGTGAAAACAAACGGTGTTTGGTAATTTAAATTCGATAATGCGGCGTGGCGTGGAGGTAGAGAGAACAAGAAATTGGATAATAATAAATAATTCGGTTGGAGGTAGGAAATTAGATCGGAATTGGGGCACTTTCAATTAATATTTAAGTGAATGATAATTATCGGTCGTAATTGGTCGTAATAATGTTTGCATAGATCGCTGCCGGCAATATTTTGTCACGTATGAATGGTTTCCGATACTAAAGTGATTTCAGCGTTGTCGTTGTTATTATTATAATATACTTGGAAAACACACACATTCTCAGTCTACATAGTTTTACATAGGATAGATAATGCGAGTATATGTGGATGATGTTTATATATATTTACGTGTAAACGTACGTTACCATAAACGTTTTTTGTTTTTTTTTTTTGGTTTTTGACCGCTCGTTCAGTGCTAAAGGCTCACCGATTTATCGACAAATTACAGAAGAATGCAGAAACGAGAAATTCCCTAATTTATGCATTTTCGAATGCAAAAGCGCGTTATGATAGTGGCAATAAATCAATAGGGGAACTTGAACTGAACTGAAGGAGAAGGCAGATCGGGCCTTCGGTTTCTTCCGTCCAACATCACTGACCATTCGCATACATGAATAACACGGTTACAATAATAAGACCTCTCTTACCTAACCATCTTCTTAGCCGACCTAACTCTTCTGCACAAACGTTAATCTGCGGGCATTACACAATTTCCAACATTCAGTCTCTGTCTCGTCATTTTTTCTCTACTCGCATTATCTGCCATCTAATAAATAACAAATCGACATATCTAACATATTTAAAACGCAATACTTTATATAAGTCAATATATATTGTATACAAATGCATTTTTACATAAATTTCCAATTTGGTAACAAATTGTTTGAATATAAATTTATATAATTGCATCAATAATTTAGAAATGTCAAAAATAATTTAAATTTTTCACATTTTTATATATTTTATGATTATATAAGAACTGGTCTTATATTATGCATCTAACTATTATTAGGTAATATTAATTAATGACAAAGATTTTTTCATACTTTTTCAATTTTTCACATTATATTTGTTATTGTGTAATTAGTAACCATATTTAGTAATTGAAACAACAAATTTGTATATTGAAGATTAAACTATTGTCTTTCCAACAAAGTAACTTTCAGATTTATGAAATTTCCTGTTTTCCTGCAAATTTTATATTAGAACTTAAAAATTGTAAAACATTTATATCAGAAGGTTTTTTTTTTAAAGAAATCCTCACAAATGCAATGTGATGAATTCTATGAATTAAAAACTACATATTCTAATTAGTTCATTAATGATGTATACTAAGGAAATTTATAGAATGTCTAGGTTTAAATGATTTCAATGTTAGATTTTTCACTGACAATTCTGCTTTTCTCTTTAGTAACCGTTAATTATTATTGATGTTAATTTGTATTTATTTTCAATTTATGTGTTTGATCAACTGTCCAGATGTTTTAACGGTGTATTTATCTTCATTTGATTAGTGCAGATCTTTTCTATAATGTATTACAAACAGTAAAGATGTGTGAATACTATTGACTCAATGATTTTTATAATTAATAATTTTGGGTAATTCAAAATTATATTTTCTCTAATTTAATTTATCACTAATAATTCAGATTTTCTTAGTAATCGTTAATTATTATTGATGTTAATTTGTATTTATTTTCAATTTATGTGTTTGATCATCTGTCCAGAGGTTTTAACGGTGTATTTCTCTTCATTTGATTAGTACAGATCTTGTCTATAATGTTTTACAAACAGTAAAGATGTGTGAATATTATTGACTCAATGATTTTTATAATTAATAATTTTAGGTAATTCAAAATTATATTTTCTCTAATTTAATTTATCACTGATAATTTAGATTTTCTTAGTAATCGTTAATTATTATTGATGTTAATTTGTATTTATTCCATTTTTATGTGTTTGATCATCTGTCCAGATGTTTTAACGGTATATTTCTCTGCATTTAATTAGTGCAGATCTTTTCTATAATGTTTTACAAACAGTAAAGATGTGTGAATACTATTGACTCAATGATTTTTATAATTAATAATTTTAGGTAATTCAAAATTATATTTTCTCTAATTTAATTTATCACTAATAATTCAGATTTTCTTAGTAATCGTTAATTAGTATTGATGTTAATTTGTATTTATTCCATTTTTATGTGTTTGATCATCTGTCCAGATGTTTTAACGGTTTATTTCTCTGCATTTGATTAGTGCAGATCTTTTCTATAATGTTTTACAAACAGTAAAGATGTGTGAATACTATTGACTCAATGATTTTTATAATTAATAATTTTAGGTAATTCAAAATTATATTTTCTTAAATTTAATTTATCACTAATAATTCAGATTTTCTTAGTAATCGTTAATTATTATTGATGTTAATTTGTATTTATTCCGTTTTTATGTGTTTGATCATCTGTCCAGATGTTTTAACGGTGTATTTCTCTGCATTTGATTAGTGCAGATCTTTTCTATAATGTATTACAAACAGTAAA